AAAATCTTTCTGCAAACTTTTCATATATTTTTGAGCTTTAATTCAATAAGCAAAATGTTCGCAGTATGCTAGCAGATTGGCAGCAAATTTGATCAGCATCCTATAACAAAATCATAGTTATTTTTGTTATTAAATTTTGTATTAAATTTGTGTTTTGGCGATAGGGCCTGTTGGCGGACATTTTGACGACAAAGTGGCGGCAGCAACCGAGCAAATCCTGCCGCCAAATAATGTGCTAAAAGGAATTATCTAATAAAAAATTAATAAACGGATATTTCCGACTAAAATACCGGTGAATTTTTGTATTAAATCAGTAAGCATGCGATGAGAAATATCGATGCATAATTTTTTTATCGGTTTATCTGCTGAAATGTCATTATGATCGGAAATATTCGACTAAATTTAATTGGATATCTTGATCGGATATAATAATTCATCAGTATTTTGATCAGAAATATCGGTTGGTTAATTTTTTATCGGATAATTTCTCTCAGAGCAGTTTGGCAACATTGTAAGATAGAACAGATTTTGTATGAGATTCGCAACTTTCCTGACATTAAAAATTTATAGCAGGCTCTGCGCAGATTTGGTTATCTGTGTATTCAGTTGTAAAGATACTGAAGCATGATTTTCGTCAGTAAAGTAAACACATATGCGATACGTACTAGTTGCAAAACTTTCAAATATACACTGAGAAAAAAACGGTTGAATTGACAAAATCGGCGGTCATCGGCCATCAAAGAAATATTGGATCTATTCAATAAAATACACATTAATGCAACAAAAAGTTGCGTTCATATAGTGATTTTAACGCAACTTATTGTTGCATTGACGTATATTTTATTGAATAGACCCAATATTTCTTTGATGGCCGGTGATCGCCGATTTTGTCAACCGCTTTTTTCTTAGTGTATAAATATTTACGTTAACTGACAACTTGAGATGTTAATTTAAAAAATTGTTTATCGTTTTCGTCACATATTAAGCTCCAATTCGTTATTGCACGTGATTTCAATGTGTAAAAGCATTTGTAATTCTGCGCAACCAGTATACGACATAAACTTTGCAGAAAAAGTCAATATTTTATCAGTAAAGTTTCCAAATATAGCATCTCTTTATATGCATGTTGAGATTGACAATTCGCTGCATAAATCGCTACCGTGTATTGAAAGTAAGTATTGTGTATTGAAAAGATCTGTGCAGTGAATTGAGCGTTGTTGGAAAGCATGAAATCATGCATCATATGTCAACAGATTTATAAACATCTGCCCATATTCGGTTCTGTCGATAAAGTTTGTTGACAATGGTATCGGCGGAAAGCGAGCAGGATGTTCCATTTAAATACATTCGAACGACAGATCCTGTGTCGGTTTCTATTGTCTGTCAGTCTGTCATCATACTCTGTCATCAGATGCTGTTATATTTCTACTAGCTGCTGATAGAGTCTGTATTATCCAAAATTTGCTTTTGCAGGTTTAGTTATCTGAATTGTATGTGTGTGTGTGTGTATGTGCATCACTATGAACTATAAAATTACAATTTTAAACAATTTATCGTCTCATTATTATTTACTTTAGCTTACACATTGTAAATTTAATATTTTATTAAGATATATTATAGGAGATAAATCTGTGAATGTTTTACACGATTATGGACGTTGCAGCTTTGTCTTTTTAGTTGTCTTTTTAGCTTTGTTTATTTAGTTATTAAATGTAACTTTCAGATTAGAATTAAATTATTATCAACTTTAAATTATTGTCGTACTTTCAGATTAGAACAAAATTATTGTCAGTTTTAAATTATTGTCGTATTTTGTGAAAAAGGACGAACATGCGTGTGTTAGTTAATTATGAGTCGAGCTTCAATTTCGGTTTGTCAAAATTGGTTTACCAATGTATTAAAAACATATTATAATGAAAACACAAATCTTTTATATTCTTTAGTTCTTTTACAATTATATTCTAAGATTACATTTACAAATATTCTTAATATTTAAGGAAGAATCTAGAATATTAGTTGTTTTTAGCTCTAGATTTGAAACTGTTAGTAGGTTATGTTCTCTACGTATACTTTTATTTTGTATAAACTAAAACAATGTGAATATGGACATTGGTTGGTTTAACAGGAAAAGCAGCTTGATAAGCATTTTGCGCTGCGCTGTCAGTAATATTTTCTGCTAAACGACACTAGCGGCTTATGCTTTTTCAATATGTTTATTAAATGCTCGCATTTTTTTCCATAAAGCATACTTTTAATACGTTGGGCCATAATAAACATGTTGGAGAAACGTAACCTGCTAGTATCAGCAGAAAATTTTGCAACAGTTGCAAAGCTGCTGGCAGCACTTATGTGCAAAAAACGCTTATTAAGCTGTTTTCTACTGAACGCAACCATTAATTAATTAAAGGGGAACCTGAGGCATAACGGAATGTAATAAGATATGGTCGATAACTTCTGCCATATAATGAAATGTTTTCCGATTATTATTGTGAGAATGTCTCTTATCGCGTATTATTATCAGTTGTCTATTTTTATCAGTTACGTATTATTATCAGTTATTTCGTGTATGTATATA